CTGAGAAAGAACGACCACAGCCAGGAGTCAAAGCTGAGGCAAGGGATTTGTACATGTCTGGTGGAATTTTTCTCACACTGTATCTCAATTCACTTTTGTAATCCCACTTAGTTTCAAAAGTAATTTGCCATATTATGCCCTGGGGTGGGGCAGGGATGAGATTCAAGAAAAGAATGTAATTTTGGGCTCATAATACTGGTTTCACAGTTCTTTGAATATTGCCCAGTTGACCATTTTATAAACAGCAAACTAAACAGAAAGGACCAAGATATATCCTTACATTTCGAAGACCTAAGCAGCCACATATTAACATATGCTTTGAATATGTTAAAGCATATTTGCAGGGAAGACATATGTTTCCAATGTCACAAATGTATTTTATGGTGTTTTTTTTTACTCCCCCCCGCACACAATTCTTTTGCATTTTTGGTTACAAAGATATTAGACAACACTCATAAAACAGAAGACTGTAACTGCTATAGATTTCATACATGTAACTTATACTGCCAAGCCGCTTATTTGTGCATTTTGCTGACTCTTACAAAGTTAAATTGTTTTGGGTTTGTACTCCCTATAGAGAACAAAGGGAACATTTTTTTGCAACAAGAAACTTCCTTTTCTACTGTATTTAAACAATATTTACAATTTGCTATTGTCTCATTCCAACTCTTGTGGTTGAATTAGTTTCTAATGACAACCCTACCAATCTACTAGCTTATTTAGCTGTACAATGTATCACTAAAAGTTTGTTCTGTTTCTTCTTATCATCTGTGGGATAAGAAATGAAATAACAGTCCAGTAATTACTTATATTCAAACATATTATGCGAACCGGAATTGATTGCAATTGTTAGGCACAATTTCTAGCACACATATTAAACGTTTCCTTAACAGTACAATGTTCTGGCAGATATACATATGCCAAAGCACTAGGCCACTCAGGTATGACCTAAATCATATCCCTGATGAATATACAGTAGAGGTGACACACAGACAAAGTGCCTGAAGAACTATGGACGGAGGTTCACAACATTGTACAAGAGGTAGCAACTAAAACCATCCCAAAGAAAAAGAAATGCAAGTAAAGAAAATGGCTGTCTGAGGAAGCTTTACAAATAGCTGAGGAAAGAAGGGAAGTGAAAGATACACACAATTGAATGCAGAATTCCAAAGAATAGCTAGAAGAGATAAGAATGCCTTCTTAAATGAACAGTGCAAAGAAATAGAAGAAAACAATAGAATAGGGAGGAGCAGAGATCTCTTCAAGAAAATTGGAGATATGAAGGGAGCATTTCATGCAAAGATGGGCATGATAAAGGACCAAAATGGCAGGGACCTAACAGAGGCAGCAGAGATTAAGAAGAGGTGGCAAGATTACACAGGAGAACTATACAAGAAAGAGCTTAATTTCCCCAATAACCACAATGGGGTGGTCACTGACCTTGAGCCAGACATCCAGGAATGTGAAGTCAAATGGGCCTTAGGAAGTCTGAGCAACAACAAAGCCAGTGGAGGCGACAGTATTCCAGCTGAACTATTCAAAATCCTAAAAGACAATGCAGTAAAAGTGCTACACTCAATATGCCAGCAAATTTGGAAAACTCAACAGTGGCCACCAGATTGGAAAAGGTCAGTTTACGTTCCCATCCCAAAGAAGGGCAATGCCAAAGAATGTTCAGACTACCGCACCATTGCACTAATTTCACATGCTAGCAAAGTTATGCTCAAAATCCTACAAGCTAGGCTCCAGCAGTATGTGGACCGAGAACTACCAGAAGAACAGGCGGGATAACGAAGAGGGAGAGGAACTAGAGATCAAATTGCCAACATACACTGGATCATGGAGAAAGCTAGGGAGTTCCAGAAAAACATCTACTTCTGCTTCATTGACTATGCTAAAGCCTTTGATTGTGTGGATCACAACAAATTGTGGCAAGTTCTTAAAGAGACGGGAGTACCAGACCCTCTTATTTGTCTCTTGAGAAACCTATGTATATGCGGGTCAAGAAGCAACAGTGAGAACAGGACATGGAACCACTGATTGGTTCAAAATTGAGAAAGAAGTTCGGCAAGGCTGTATACTGTTGCCCTGCGTATTTAACTTATATGCAGAGCACATCATGAGAAAGGCGGGGCTGGATGAATCACCAGTTGGAATTAAGATTGCTGGGAGAAATATCAACAACCTCAGATATGCAGATGATACCACTCTCATGGCAGAAAGTGAAGAGGAACTAAAGAGCCTCTTGATGCGGGTGAAGGAGGAGAGTGCAAAAGTTGGCTTGAAACTCAACATTAAGAAAACTAAGATCATGGCATCTGGTCCTCTCACTTCCTGGCAAATAGATGGGGAAGAAATGGAGGTAGTGACAGATTTTATTTTCCTTGGCTCCAAGATCACTGCAGATGGGGACTGCAGCCAAGGAATTAAAAGACGCTTGCTCCTGGGGAGGAAAGCTATGGCAAATCTAGACAGCATACTAAAAAGCAGAGACATCACCCTGCCAACAAAAGTGTGTATAGTCAAGGCTATGGTTTTCCCAGTTCCAATGTATGGCTGTGAAAGTTGGACCTTAAGGAAGGCTGAACACCGAAGGACTGAGGCCTTTGAATTGTGGTGCTGGAAGAGACTACTGCGAGTCCCTTGGACCGCAAGGCGATCAAACCGGTCAGTCCTAGAGGAGATCAACCCTGACTGCTCTTTAGAAGGCCAGATCCTGAAGATGAAACTCAAATACTTTGGCCACCTAATGAGAAGGAAGGACTCCCTGGAGAAGAGCCTAATGCTGGGAACAATCAACGGCAAAAGAAGAAGGGGGCGGCAGAGGATGAGGTGGCTGGATGGAGTCACTGAGGCAGTTGGTGTGAGCTTAAGTGGACTCCGGGGGATGGTGAAGGACAGGAAGGCCTGGAGGAATGTTTTCCATGGGGTCGCGATGGTTCAGACACGACTTCGCGACTAACAACAACTAATACAATCTTCCAGAATCTTAGGCTCAGTTCATGCATTCACTAAGGCCAGCACTGAAATAATATGGTGAATGAATGGCAGAAGCCCTCCACCACACATATAACTTCCCCAGTTAGCTGATGCCTGCACACAAAGGGCCAATCACACAGGACCAGTTTGTATAACTTACCTGTCCAAAAAAAGAGTGTGTGGGGCGGGGTGGGATTGTCTGAGAGCCATTCACATGGATATCCCATTTATACTGGAGTTTGCATGTGGCAGAGGGGAGCACCTGGCACTCCTCCACCATGGTAATTTCGGCTGATAGTAAATCCAATCTGCTTGAGTGCCATATTTTGGTAGAAAGGTACGAATAAATAACATCACAAAGTCATGTCTGAACCATCGCGACCCCATGGAAAACATTCCTCCAGGCCTTCCTGTGCTCCACCATCCCCCAGAGTCCACTTAAGCTCACACCAACTGCTTCAGTGACTCCATCCAGCCATCTCATTCTCTGCTGCCCCTTCTTCTTTTGCCATCTATTGTTTCCAGCATTAGGCTCTTCTCCCGGGAGTCCTTCCTTCTCATTAGGTGGCCAAAGTATTTGAGTTTCATCTTTTGTCGGCAGGGTGATGTCTCTGCTTTTTAATATGTCGTCTAGATTTTCCATAGCTTGTATAGTACCTGAAATTGCATATTTGTGTATTTCGCCCTCACCAGAAATAAAAACCATTGTTTTTCAATGTAACTGGAAACTTGGCCTATTACATTTTAAACATTTTATCATTCAGCAGTTGTTCTAAAAGATGAGAAAGTAAATTTTTGCTTTGTGTATCAAATGTGAGGTAGCATAGGGATATTAAATACAAAGACCCACCAGAGTTCACTACATAGTTCAAGTTATTTCTCTTTGGCATCACCAATATCATGTTGATTTCTACATGCTACCCAACCTTGCTGTGGTCAAGCATTTACTTATTTTAGGAAAAGAGAAAAGAAAAATCAGGGTCCTTTGATCTTGTCAGGTGTTGATTTTTCCTCAGCACATGAAAACTTTATTTGCCACTTGAATGTGGGAATGAGTTCGTTAGCCAAGAATAAATGATAATACAAAACATGACCAAAAGAACCACATTAAATCTTGCACAATGTTATGGTGATATGAAGCGGGGGGGGGGGGGGGAAGAGAGATTCTAATATGTTACTGCCTTTCATCTATTATGGCAAGTTGAATGATATGGCTTCAGATAAAAGAGTATTCAAAGGCTTTGTTTTGTTAGATGTATTTATTATTTCTGAAACTTAGCAGCCCCAAGCAATGATGATACTGTGACACTCCAGGGAAAGATAAGCCAAACAAATAAAGGAGTTCACCCCTTTGGCAGAAAAATAACTCCTGGGTAATGTACATTTTCCTTTTATGGTTAAGCCACTGTAACTTCACAGGGCAATGTGAGTGTCATATTTCAGGACCTCATTTCTATTTAATGCATATAAAGCAAGGGGAAGCGCTTCATTCTTTTTGTTTTTAAAATGGCATAGATTTCTTTTAAATAAATTACTTGAAAAGACAAAGGTTGTTAAAGCCACAATAAAACCTGCAGGACAGATATTCAGGATAAATAAAGTGTTCCCAGACAAACCCAGACATTTTAAAAAAGAAAATAACTTTTGGAGGTGCTTTTTCTGAAAACCTAGCTAGGTATGTAAGCTCTAACTTACAATAAGCCTCTACTAAACCTATACTAAACATGTGGAGAATGTTTATAGTAAAATCAGGGTTAAAAAACTTGAAAACGATTTCCAAGTTTTGTAAAAATAGCCCTGTTTTTTAAACTTATGTAAGCATATTGTGTTAAGAAATCTTCCAGCTGAGCCTTGTCAGCCTAAGGACCTAAGGCATTGTACTGCTTTTCATTTTCTCTAAGGAAGTTTGTACTATTCTCAATAGCACTATTAGCAGAATCGCTGCACACAGAGCAGGACTGTGCCTGGTCCCCAGGGAAAGGAACTATTTCAGACACTAAGGAATCCTCTAATCCATTTCAACATAATTGTACTGTTGCTTTGCTTGTTTTAAGATAAGCAGCAGACATTTCTCTCTTTTGCAGCTGGAGATTAAATGACACCAAGCAGAGTCTACTGTTAGATTAGATTATCAGGTAATATATTATATTTATATCTTAAATTACTGTATAGTAAAGTATTTACTGTGCTTAACAATTGCAGTTGTGCTGGTGAGTTATAATGTATACTGGAGAATGTATGTAAAATGTATTTGCCTAAGGTATTATGTATTTTGTAATATTAACTTCAATTAGTATGAACAGCTTACACACCAGTAAAAAACTGTTAGAAAATGTTATGGGCAGAAGTAGTTACTAGTTTTTATGAAGAATATTATCAAGTTGACAAACTTTTGAAAATTGTTATGTAGTTAAATGCACAGCTGTTTGTCATAAAAAATCTACTTCTTATCCCCAAACACATTGTTGTAAAAGTCTTATTCTTTGTAGAATAATTCATTATAATATGAATAGTTTAAATTATCTGAACAACATATTAATCTAAAAACCTTTTTCATGAAGGATGATTTGAATTTATTAACCCCTTTCATTGCCTTTCTGAAACACAAAATTAGAAAAAATGGCCAGCTAACATAAAGCAGAGCTTTCTATTTGTGAAAATGATTATGATTAATTTTCGTTCTGTATTGCCCAATAGCTGAATCTCTCTGTGTGGTTTACAACGATGCATAAAATAAAATGTAAAATACAGGTAAAATATAATAACAACAATACAAAATTTAAAAGGCAAATTTAAAAAGTGACAATTACTTATACGAATTAATTAATTAGACCTGTTTAAGATTCTGACACAAGCCCCAGTATAATATTAAATAAATTAAATGCCCTGTGGTAGAAGACAGTCTTAACATAGTGCCAAAAATATAGTCGGTGCCAGGTGGGCCTCAGTGCAGTTTGTTCCATAACTGGGAGCCACCACTGAAAAAACTAGCACCTTAGATTTGGCTCAGAAACATACAGGCCACCAATGCATATGGGCCAGGACTGGTGTTATACATTTGGACCCTTTGGGCTCTTTCTTAATCTTTTTGCACAGACTGAAGCTTCTGAACATTCTTCACCCTACATAGGGTGCATTGCAGCAATCTATTTAGAGATTATCAGAGAAGATTACCAGTGTATATTATTGAAGCTGGGCTATCCCATGTTTGCCATGGAGACAATGAAATCTGGAGCTGAGACAGGGTGCTTTCAGCATGATGTTAACAACCTCCAGCAGCCTGGGAGACCTTATAATTGCTACTCTGTCAGCTCAGGTTGGGAGACTGTTGAGATGAATGGTACACACTGATGGACAGGGAACCTGGAGAGCGAGCGAGCGAGCGAGCATTCCTATAGACCGCGGCAATCTCCCTTCAGTCTTCCTTGATGCTGGATCAAGTAACCTGGTGGACAGAGCTGGGAGAAGCTAACCCACCCCCCGTTCATCCATCCAGTTCTTTGTTATATATGTCAGATCACTTGCCTCATCTAATATTAAGGTGTGGATCAAGGAGGTCTTATTGTGAACTGATCTGGCATTTAAAAGCAACATCTGGAGATCCCAGGGCAGACTGACAGGGCAGCTGCCAAACCTTGATCTCTCAGTGGCTTTTGATACCATTGACCATAGCATCATTCTGGTGTAGTTGGCTGAGTTGGGACCAGGGGTACTGCATTGCAGTGGTTCTGCTCCTACTTGGACAGCCAGCTCCAAAAAGTGGTGCTTAGAAATACTGATCAGACCTTTTGACTCTCCAATATGGGGTTCTTCAGGGGTTGGTCTTGTTCCCCATGCTATTTAATATCTACATGAAACCGCTCAGCAGGGAATCCAACGGTTTAAAGTGTGTTGATGACATACAACTCTATTTCTTCTTGTCAGCCTCATGAGATGAAGCTGTGGATGTGCTAAACCACTCCCCAGCTGTGACAATGGACTGGATGAGGGCTAACAAACTGAAGCTCAATCCAAGCATGATTATGATACTGCCAGTGGGTGGTTTTACTGACTGGATGGAATTCAACATATTCTGGGTAGGGTTGCACTGCCGTTGAAAGAGCAGACTATCCCTTCAGGATGCTGTTTGAGCCATCTTTGACTTGTGCCTTCCTCAGCTTTGGCTAGTGGCCAAGCTCCACTCCTACCTGAGCCTGATTTCAGTAATCCTCACTCTGGTAATCTGTAATATAGATTACACTATATTAATCTCTACTTTATATATTACAATGCACCCTGTGTAGGGCTATTCCTGAGGACTGTTCTGAAGCTGCAATTTGTGCAAAATGGGGCAGCCAGATTACTATCAGGGACCAGAATGTCCAAATGTATGATGCCAATTCTGACCCACTTGCGTGGACTGTCTGTAAATGTAATGAGACAAATCTACGTAAGGTGCTAGTTTTAATCTATAAAGGTCTGCACCACCTAGGACCGTATTATTTGATGGGATGCCTGCCCTAGCTGCAATGTGCCCAGACAGTGCAATCAAGACCTGGGATCCGCCTGTACCCAGTTTGGTATGTGGCAACAAGGAAAGTTTGGTATGTGGCAACAAGGAAAAGGGTCTTCTTAGTAGTGGCTCCTGGTTAGGAAACAAACTCTTCACTGAGGCCTGCCTGCCTTTGCTACCTCTGAGGTAAATTTGGATTGTGGCAACGAGAGCGTGGACCTTTCAGTAGTGGCCCTCAGTTATGAAACAAACTCTTCACGGAGGCCTGCCTGGTGACAAATCTAATACCTTTTCAGTGTTGGGTTAAGACTGTCCTCTATGATAGGGAATTCAATTAGTTTTGCATTAAATTGGGGCAGTTTGTCAACTGCTTAACCGGTCTTGTGATTTAATTTGCATAAGCTGTTGTGACTTTTTAAATTAAGTTTTTACATTTTTATTGTATTGACATTTGAAATATTGTTGTGTATTTTATATTGTATTTAATCTGTCATTGTAAACTATCCAGAGAGTGTCATCTATCTGATAGCATGGAAAAACAATTAATAACAAAAATAGCTAGTAATTTCAAAGAGATTACTGCAGTATTTGTCAGAGTGCACAGAAATTTGTTCTGCTTCGTCGCTTAGGCTGTATGTTATTCTAACTAGGCCATGTAAAGGATACCTTCTGAGTACTTTGAATGGAACAGTCTTTTTAAAATTCTTTAGAGGCTGTGAGCAGTCAGTCTGGGTTCTCATGGTGAGTGTACTTTTGTTTAAAGTTGTGAAAAGCTCTCCTTCTTGCCTGCATTCCATCGGTTTCATGTGGAAAAGAGTCAATAGTGTTGCCATTAAAATGGTATTTATGAGAGCATTACACATGATTCAAATGCTGTGCAAAAACAGTGCACAGTGGAGTAAGGTGCTAGGAATATTTCAAAAACTATACCTGATCTAAATAATATGTTTCCATAAAGTAATCTTTCAATTAAGTTTTCAAGGTGATTAACAAACTAAATTACACTTAGAATATATTAATAGTCTTACAAATAGTGTACACCATGCAACATAAAGCAAACACAGTTATTCAAAGAGCTTGGGAAAATACTTTTTCACCCATATTTCCAGGAATACCACAGGAAAGATTCTGTTCCTTGTAGATGACAACTAGATGGCCAAGAAGAATGGAACTTGCAGTGAGGATATGCTTTTTGTGAAATTCAGGCTGATGAAATATCTCAACATTTTGTATTAAACAAATCTCTTCCCATTTCGATTCAGAACATTAATTAATTAATCCACTGGAAGGAAACATCTGTTTGTCTTAAGACTTCTGCTATTGCATCTGGTTGAATGAAAAACTCACAAATTGGGTTTACACAATAGGAGAACGAATATTCAAGGTTGAGTTGAATGTTTTTGTTGAACCATTGTCTGTTGTATTGTATGAACCCACACAGAACCCTTGGTTTGTTATTGGGTTGTGAACTATGGGTAGTTAGCAAAGCTGAGTCCATACAACATAACAACCCATTGCTCAATGACAATTTACACTCAAGCTTGTACATAGGCGTTCATGTTGTGTGAATCCAGTTATAACCCAGTCTTTTTCAATTTTTTTATTGTTTCTATTTATTTTAGATATTTCTGGGCTTCTACATTATCCTATGTGCTAAAAATTTATAACTAAGCAGAATCTTTGATCATTTGGAATTCATTCCTAGAATGTGATACATCAGTTAGCTGCATCTTACAACTGGAAAACATCTGTAAGACACATGGCCCCCACTAGACAAAACAAATGCCCTTTGACAACCTTGGCAATTGCAAACATTAGTCTGATTAATGCTGCATTCCGTATCTTAAGCAATTTCAGAAGAGGTTTCAGAAATGGGAGTAAATGTTCATCCAGATGAGCAAGGAACACTGTTCAGTACTTCTGATTTCCACAGTTGAGACCTGTGGATGTATTAGCCTGTGTTTCTCCCTCACTCATCTACAAGGTTCACAGTGGGTGGCTTGAGGCTAATACAAGTTCTGCAGTGTCCCAATCTGGGTTTCTTTTCCCTGTGGTAATCCTCAGGATGTCCCAAGTTAAAAAAAAAAAAGCTTTCCTGGCATATTTCCTTGGCACTTGGCTGCATACTATCCTGTCCAGCTTGAAGCACATAAAGTTTCCATCTGAATGTGTCCTGTGTAATAGTTAAAAAGGAACAAGTACACATCACTCTTGACATAAAGTCACCACTGGTACAATCAGGAATAAAAGTCACTAATGAAGATTATGCATTTCACAGAACCCTTTTCCTCTACCCATTACCTATATTCTATATTGCTTGAGAAAGTATTAATCTTTCAAACTCCTTTTTATTTCATTTTCTACTATAGGACCCAGAATAACAAAACAAAAATGCATTTGGAAGCACTTCTCTATTATTTTCTGCTTATTTCTCTGAGTATTGCTCTTGCTGAGAATGAACACAATGGAATGCCCAGGAAAGCGAGGAGGAGGAGAATGCGCTATAGAAGATTAAGAAAGGGCTCCTTAGCAAATGGTAGATTAAACATGCAACCACAAATCACATCCCCATTGCTAACTACTTCAGTACCAAACATTCCACTTATTAATATTGATGGTGATATTACAGGAATATTTGGCTCTTTTATTGGTTTAGATGGACAAGAATCCAGCTACAATATTTTACCAGGTAAGCAGAGAAAAGTTGATTTTTACTTTCCAAGCCAAATCATCAATGTATAGCATTTTCAGGGAGTTGGAAAGGCTGCTGTGAGAAACAGCAGGAAAGGAAATCGTTTCCACTTGCCAGTTGCACACTTCTAAATCTGGATTCAACCCATGGAATGACTGTCAGGATTCTGCATACTGTGTATGTTTCTTGCATAGTACAGAAAAGAGGCCTAGTTGATCCAGCACTCTTTTGCTTCCTTATCAACACACTTTAGGACTGCAATTTGTATATTTGCTCTTCGAACATATATCAAGATGGTAGCAGTGAGAAATTATAACATACAATTACACAAATAGAAATTCTGCAAAAACACAATTAACAAAAAACAAACAAGTAGGAACATTACTTAGTAGAAATATTGGGCAGTAACCAACATTTCCCTTAATATTATAATGAACTTGTTAACAGAGGGCATGGAATTCTGTAAACCGGAGCAATACAGGTGCAATCCTATGGCCTTCCCACTTTCTATGGGGAGCCATAGGATTATTTGCAGTCCCAGCTGTGCTCCCCACTTTTGTCCCCCTCACAAGTCATTGCAGAAAGAACCACACTGCCTGCTTCTCTGAGGTTTAAAAAAGGCCTTGGAGAGGAGGAAAAGGGACATTTATTTATATTGCGATTTATATCCTGCCTTTTTCCTACAAAGGGCTCAAGGCAGCTTACACCATCTCTCCTCCTCCATCTTATCCCCACAACAACAACCCTGAGAGGTACATTGGGCTGAGAGTCTGTGACTGGCCCAATACCCAGTTGGCTCCATGGCTGAGCGGAGACTAGAACCCAGATCCTCTGAGTCCCAGTCCCATGCTCTTAACCACTACACCACACTGGCTCTCATAGGTCTGACAGTGTAGTGTCACAAATCAGATTGCATCCAGCTTGCCTAAGAACATACCAAGTGGGTCTTTCAGGGTGTTGAATTACAACTAAATCTGAAACTAGACTATCTATGTAAGCTCTGTACATAGATTCTCCAAACCAGGGGTCTCAAACTCAACTTCCCTGGGGGCCGCTGGAAGTAGAGTCTGGGTGAGGCTGGGCTGCATCAAGTATCCCACCACCGCGGTGATGGTGGGCCGCTCATCCCACGTGGCTCCCGGAGGCTGGCCCAGGCGCCGCCGGTGCTTTGAAGGCCGCAGGGCCCCTCCCCTGTGCCCCACCTGTCCCGGCAACTGGGCCACGGGCCACAAGTTTGAGACCCCTGCTCCAAACCATTTCACCCTTTCCTCCAAGATGCACTAAGGATTACGCTACATAAATACTCTCAAAGAGAAGTTTAATAGCCACAGTGTTAGTGAACAAGTGATTTATTTCTAAGTTACCAGGAAGCAATATCATGTTCTACATACACATTATCTAAAACTATTCACTTGTAAGCATATTACTATTAAAGAAAAATTCCAACACATGTTGTATGTGTTCTGTATGAGCTATTTTAAATTTCCCTTACAAAAATCATCAGCCATGTTGAAGTAATGTGTGGTTTCCTAATTTTCCCCTTGATTCTTCTCTTTTTATCTGGAATTTTATCCAAAGGTTATGCTAAAAGCACTAAACTCATTTTAGTTGGAACCCAATATTGGATCTGCACCAAATTTCCAAAGGTTAAAAGCAATGAACTATCTGCCAAGGATTTCAACCACAAGGTATTTTTCTAGTCTAGTATTTAGAATCTTTGCAAGTCAAGGTCAGATCTAGAAAGTAGCCTATTTAACAAGAGAGCTCCTTATTATTTTTACAAAGTTTTAAATATATATGAGTTAAGCAGAGTTCCCTATCATGGTTCCTTACATTTGTATTCTTTTCTTAGTATCTTCCAGTGCAATGTAGTAATATGAATACTAACACTAAAAGTAAATGTAATGTGCCGGCTACAAGTAAGCCTGTTTCCCAAAACCTTTGAGATACTTTCAGCTCCTCTTTTTTGATCCTAATCCTTCATTCAGTATTCTCTGATGGGATATAATGAGATCATCAACAAGCATCCCCCAATTTCCTACCACTGCAGTCTGAGAGTAATATATATGTTCTATAGTTAGGTTATTTATCACCTGCTTAAGGAGATCTCACTTCAGCAAGATGGTGAAAGGATTAAGAGCTGGCTTCCATAGGTGGATTCCCTCTCTCATCTTTAAGCATGATAAAGGATTTTATTTGCACTGATGTTAATCATGGCTAATGCTAACAAAGGTTCATCCCTGGGGTTTTACTACTCCAATGAGGTGCTAGCAAGTTTCAGATATAAGAGTGGGGAGCTGGCAAATGTCTGTCAATTTCTCAACAATTTATATATGAAAAGAAGTACTTTTCATACATAAAAGAAGTACTTTTCAGTTCCATGTAACTGATGCTAATTCCCATCCACAGTCTGAGAAGTATGAACTTGGTACTTCTCAGACTGTGGATGGGAATTAGCATCAGTTACATGGAATAGGCATCAAAGGCTGGTTACAAGTTGAATGCAGGCTACAATTCTCTGGCTCCTTAGGGGTAATTAATTTTTAATCTGTTTGAAGTGGAAAGAAAACTACACTTGCAAAATTGTAGCCGAGATCTACAATATTGTAGCAGGAAGGATCAGCATCAATAATACGTTTTTATTATTATATCTTGTTTTCTACAATGTATCTACAACAGCTTATGAGCAGGATAAAATGCAAAGTTTAATGAAAATAACTAAGAAAGAATCAGAATGGATAATGTCAACTACAAGTCTAAAAACTAAAAGAATCAAACGCAACATAAAACAATGTTAAGAAATGAATTCTGCAAAAGTTCACCAAAATAAACTGTTTCTAGTGCCAGCTGGCTTAGACGCCCCGCTGCTCAGAAAACCCCTAAGCCCCTGGTGTCATGTGCGGCATGGGGAGTTGGGAAGGCAGGGCATGACTGCTTGAGTGGCCGACTACATTCGAATGAACATCTAGATAGATTTAAAATTCAAGTGAGCAAAAAATGGAGGCCTCAGTAAATTTCAATCAGGTAATAATGTCTATTTCTATAAAATGTAGGGAAATAGATTGAGATAAATCACATAGCATTACTTAAAATGAAAACTTATTTTGGGAATACTGAAACCATACTGTTAAATTATACATGTTTAGTCAAATATGTGGTAACAATGGATTTGCCAACAATTTATATATAAAATTAACCCCAAAATCATAACTGCCAACATGAACCAACCCAAACACTATGACTGACTTCCCAGTTCTTTTTCTGTGTAACTTCTCCAAAGAAGGCTTGGAATATGGCAGTGAAGTAGAGGGCCTTCCCAGTGGTCTCCCCTCCCTGTTACAGGTTGCTCTACCCAATGAGATTCCATTTTACCTTTGTTTGCAAAAAGAGGAACCAGAGGCACCCCCAGGAATCCTCACTGGATGGCACTGCTTTGCTCCTCCCCTCTGCACACCCCAAGCACTGGAAAAGACGGTGCCAGTTGGAGTGGGGGATGCTGCTGAGTAAGTGCCCCAGCTCTGACTTTGGAGCGCTTTTTTGTGATCAGAGCTGGGACTTCAACTTTTCCTATGGACATCTAGACAGAGTCCAGCAGCTGTAAGATTGTGCTCTAAATATTACATATGCTTATAATCTTCTTGCATTTCATTTCCATTTATTAGGAAAGGAAGGACGCTGCTTTGTTAATGGAATGACTATGTATGACAATGCTGTGTGGTCTCCTAAAGCCTGTGTCACATGTCTTTGCTCAAAAGGAAAAGTGTTGTGTGATGAAACCTTGTGCCATCCTCTGACATGTCACAAACAAAGGATACCTGAAGGAGAGTGTTGTCCAGTGTGTACAGATCCTGGTACAGTATATTAATGGCTTACATACAATATATTAATATCTTACATACTTACAGTGGTTGGACTGGGAGAACACAAAAATCCACACTCAAGAGTTGAGCGTGGGTTCCTGCAGAGCCATGAGTTATTGCGTTGTCTGAACACAACTGGGCAAACCATGGCTTGATAACTACAAATAAACCACAGTTCACAGCCCAACAATGGGTTCTTCCCATGGGTTAGCAGAGCTGGGTTCAGAAAACATGACAATCCATGTTTTAACAACAACCCATGGTTTAATAGAAACCCACATTCAATCCATACTCAACCTTGAGTGTGGTTTATTGTGTTGTCTGATCCTGGTCACAATCTATGCAAGTTATACATTTTAGTGTAAAGTACTTCCAAAAATTCACGGACACTTTAAATTGAAGTGAAACTAGAAATTGTTCATTAACCTTTTATATTTCCATATATTTGAAAGACTACATTGAGCCACTGGCTTGTATGGGCTTGCTGCATATAAGTGCCTATTTTTGGAATAGGTATTTCTATTGAGAACAGCCTATTTGCAATATCTCTGATTGCCTTTGATGGTGGAGACATGTTTTGATCTACTATTGTCATAGGAAATAGGGCTGTCCTAGATCCTATTCACGTGGAAATGTAAGTGGTCATTAATAGCACTTCCAAACATACCTGGAGAAGCAAAGAGCTCAACGGCAGAATATATACTATATTTCTAAAGCTGATAGTGTGATTAGTAACCTCATGCATGGTACCAGCAATCAGCTGGCCAAAAAACATTGGACCAATAGTTCTCTTTACTGTGTATGTTAAATATAACATTCTGATTCCCCCCCCCCCTCAAAAAAAGCACACACAACCCTTGAATTCAGCTAATAAAAATCCTGCAAAGCTTGTACTATGACACCGGGTTACTGCTTCTTGTCTTGTAGATAGTTAAAAGTCATGCAATATTGAAAATGGCAATTTGCCTTAATAGCACTGGGATTTTGACAAGCATCAAATAAAAGGTGAAAATATTGATACACAGTTTACATTTAAAAGCATGGTTCACAACAATTTGAGGTTAATAATAGGAAAAAGTGCTATTGACACAACTGATGAATACAGCAACCAGCTGAAATATAGATGCCATCTTGTCCCAACATTTTCTGAATTACTATTTATTTATTTTATTTATTTAGGGAACTTCTATGCCACCCCACTCGCCAAAGCCTCGGGGCGGCTCACAAACAGAAATAAATAACATCCTATAAAACAATATAATTTAACAGTATAAATTAAGTCGCCCTGGCCAAAGAATAAAATAAATAAATAATATTAACAATTAAAATAACGTTTGAATAAAAAGGTCTTTGCCTGGCGTCGAAAAACAAATAACAACGGCGCCAGGTGGACCTCTCTGGGGAGCGCATTCCATAGATTGGGCGCCACCGCAGAGAAAGCCCTCCTCCGAGTACTTACCCTCCTAAATTCCTTCACAGAGGGTTCCCAGAGAAGGGCTTCTCCCGCTGATCTCCTGCTGAAAATTACTATATTTGTGGAAGTGAACACCGTATTTATTGAAATACATCGTCCACAAAAACCATGTTTGGAATGTTCAGATGGGATAGACATAGTGGAAAAATTTCCTTATTGGCAAGTGCATTAATAAAACCGTTGCAAAAATAAATTATTTTCAATAACCTTTTAACCTCAGTAATGTTATATGGAATACTGTATTTTGTTAATATACTTTAATATTCTAAAAGAATGATTATTCCTTTAAAGCAGAACTATAATGATTCTTACTAAATATTGCATTGTCATTTCTCTTTACATTGGCACCAACTTTTGTCTTCACCTTCATCACCATGGCCGCCTTACCTACAGTATTAAGTACTATTCCATTAGGTGACACAGCTGAGTTTTCTGGTGATATTCCTGAACCCAATGACCCAAGTGGTACAGTTCTGCAAGAACAACAGGCACAAGATGAAAGGAATAAAAGGGACAAAAAACTTATTGAAAAGAATGGAATTAAAATTAAAGAGAAAGGGAAAAGGAAGAGAAAGAGGACAAGAATAAAAAGCCACAAACAGAGTAGAAAACAGGAACCCATAAATAATGAAATGGAAGACAAGGAGAAAATGAGAACAGAGGAAGAAAAAAGAAGAGCATATGCAGAAGAAGAGCAAAGAATTGAAACAGAATTCAAGAGAATAGAAAAAGAAAATGAAGAGCAAGAGCATGAAAAATATGAAAGAAGTGAGGAGGAGGAAGAGGATGTGGAGCAGGAGGAAGAGGTGGAGGAAGAGTATATTTTGCGTGGTGATGTATTCAGAATGCCCCCTCGTTTCTCAGTTCCTGAGTCATCTTCTGAGATGCCTCCTTTGCCAACTGGATGCTCCCACTTAGACAACACACTCAGCTGCATTAATGCCAAACTTTCACAAATACCACCAATCATGGATGCAGAGCTTACAAGCATAGACCTGGAGGGTAAGGAAAAACACTGTTTATTTGTTTAAAGCAATACTAAACTGCCCTTCGTTAAAAAAAAATCACATACAATAATGACAATAAAATATCCATTACAATAAAACTAATGTTTACAAGAAAAGGCAGATAAAACTATAAAAACCACAGAGTAGCCAGAGGCATCACTGGCATTTAATAAACCGTGGCAAATAACAAGAACTTAACCTGGTGACAAAAAGATTGCTAGTACCAGACATAGTTCTTTTGGAATTGAATTCCAGATTTGTAGTCATCACAAAAAAGCCCCCCTTTCTCCCACAAAGAAGGCATTCAGAGAAGAATGTAAGAAGCTTATCAATTTTACCTATTTTCAAATGCTCACTGTATTTAATGTTGATCTTTCTATTTGTATTTTGCAATATTTCTACTATGAAATATGGGAGAGGGAACAATATGATGTAATCTTTGTTATTCCTTACTCTATTGTATTCCTTCCTTCCTTTCTTCAAATGTTCATTACATTTCCTTACGGCTTGAAATTTCTGCGACAGAATCACAGACAGGAAATTGTAACTCAATGAGGAAATGGTCAACAAACAGAAGTTAATTCCCATAATTCATTCATATGTGTCTTTATTCTAGGCAATTACATCACTGCCATTCCTGATGCAGCTTTCAATGGGATTCCTAATTTGGAAAGGATTGATCTTCGTAAAAATAATATCACCTCATCTGGCATAGGTCCACAGGCATTTAAAGTAAGAAAATCTAGGTTTAAACTTGCGGCATCACTGCCCTGTAGCTGCTGCAGTATTAGCTTGCAGTAGACCTTCTTGTATATACCTCGATTTAAAATTAATGTATTTTAAATTATTTCTTCTAGTTAATTCTTTCTATCCCATTACATGCACAGCAAATAGTAAGAATGATACACACACTTAACTTTCAGATAAAAGTGAAGAGTATTGGAGGGGAAAACTAGGGGCGCATAGGATATGTCAGATTTCCAGATCCCAGTTTGGAGACAGAGCTCTGTCTTTAGAGTTGGGAATCCATGCTCTGACTCCATGCCCAGCACACCCAGCGTGGAAAGAATCACATTTGCTGCCTCTCTGAGTTTGGACATTATGGGTGACATTTTGGAAGGCGGGGAGGGAAGGAGTCCCCCCCCCCCCGATAGATAGCTGAAAATGGATGTCTAATCATGTGTCGGAAGGTGGAGATCCTTCCTTACAGAACCTTCTTGAGTGAAATCAGAGAGGGAATGTGACTATTAGCTAGGATTCCATGAGACTAGAAACTTTCAGCCATATATAAATACCAATATATACCAGTGCATAAAATCCCCTTGAAACTGAAAATACAGAAGCAAAAACTGGAGATTATCGTATATGTCTAAGATATGACAAACACCAGAAAAACAGCCCAAAATATTGACCTTGTTTTATATGCTGGTATATACAGTATGTAATTTTGTAGCAGCAATTTTTAATACATTAATGTCACAACACAGTGCCTTAAATTCAGCATCTCTTGACAAAACTCCCCTTTGCTCCTCCCATCTGCAACCCCTCCTTATGTGCCTTCCCAGTTTGCTCTGTGGGAATCTCTCAATCCGTTGGGACAAATTTGCCAGGGTATGAGGGGGCTAAAGAGGGGAGGAAAACGAGCTATTCCGCTATGCAGGAGATGAAAGAATCCTACAATTCTGTTTGGAGGAAGGAAGTGGTGCAAAAAGTGGTTTCAGCAGCTGCTCCCTTCTTCTTTGTTACCTATGAACTGGGAGAGATCCAATTTTCTTGTTAAACGGAGACTAACAGATCTCCATTCTCAAGACCTTTAGAGAACAGCAAAGTGTTCATGCTCTACTGGGTCATTGGGTTTGGCAGGTTGAAATGTCAAAGATGGATGCCTTATTTAAATTGGTTATCTATCCCCAAATATGTTGTTGTTGTTAGTCGGGAAGTCGTGTCCGACCCATCACGACCCCATGAACAACATTCCTCCAGGCTTTCCTGTCCTCCACTATCCCCCGGAGTCCACTTAAGCTCACGCCAACTGCTTCAGTGACTCCATCCAACCACCGCATTCTCTGCCGTCCCCTTCTTCTTTTGTCATCATTTGTGTTCAGCATTAGGCTCTTCTCCAGGGAGACCTTCCTTCTCATTAGGTGGCCAAAGTATTTGAGTTTCATCTTCTGTATCTGGCCTTCTAAAGAGCAGTCAGGGTTGATCTCCTCTAGGACTGACTGGTTTGATCACCTTGCAGTCCAAGGAACTCGCAGGAGACTCCTCCAGCACCACAATTCAAAGGCCTCAATCCTTCGGTGTTCAGTCTTCCTTATGGTCCAGCTTTCACAGCCATACATTGCAACTGGGAAAACCATAGCCTTGACTATACACACTTTTGTTGGCAGGGTGATGTCTCTGCTTTTTAGTATGCTGTCTAGATTTGCCATAGCTTTCCACCCCAGGAGCAAGCATCTTTTAATTTCTTGGCTGCAGTCCCCATCTGTGGTGATCTTGGAGCCCAGGAAAATAAAATTTGTCACTACCTCCATTTCTTCCCCATCTATTTGCCAGGAAGTGAGAGGACCAGATGCCATGATCTTCGTTTTCTTAATGTTGAGTTTCAAGCCAACATGCGCTCTCCTCCTTCACCCGCATCAAGGGGCTCTTTAGTTCCTCTTCACTTTCTGCCATGAGAGTGGTATCATCTGCATATCTGAGGTTGTTATTTCTCCCAGCAATCTTAATTCCAGCTGGTAATTCATCTAGCCCCGCCTTTCTCATGATGTGCTCTGCACATAAGTTAAATAGGCAGGGCAACAGTATACAGCCTTGCCAAACTCCAGTTCTCACTGTTGCTTCTTGACCTGTATATATGTTTCTCAAGAGACAAATAAGATGGTCTGGTACTCCCATCTCTTTAAGAACTTGCCACAATTTGTTGTGATCCACACAATCAAAGGCTTTAGCATAGTCAATGAAGCAGAAGTAGATGTATTTCTGGATCTCCCTAGCTTTCTCCATGATCCAGCATACGTTGGCAATCTGATCTCTAGTTCCTCTCCCTCTTCGAAATCCCGCCTGTACTTCTGGTAGTTCTCGGTCCACATACTGCTGGAGCCTAGCTTGTAGGATTATCCCCAAATATAGGAGGGCTTTTTTCTGACTTGATGCAATGTGTAATCTTTTTGACAGTAAATATAATAAAGCTGCTTTTTAAAATGTAGCCTTCTGGATTAGACTTTCCAAGATTGTTTCATGATACTGTTTCAATGTTTATGCATTATATATTCTCATATCTATTTAATATTTATATATATATATTATATTTGCTGTGCATGCATTCAGTAGTCCACTGGCAGATGGTCAGATGGATACAACAGAGAAACAGCTTCATTTTATATTTTCTCACTTATCCATGTGTATCCTTTGGTTCTCTTTCCACTGACGCTATTATTCAACATGATGCTAGCATTATACACTATGTACTTTTTCCTATATCAAATGTTTAACCAATGTCAACCACACAATAATCATATAGCAGACATTAACACAAAGCAAATAGTGCTAGAATAAATATTTTAATACGTAAAGCTCTAAGCTGATGTTTTTTCATGTTTTTAAATTTGAGTATATTCCTCCAATTCAGGTGTTGAAGAATCTGCAGCGTTTATATATGGATGGAAATGCATTAATTCATATTCCCACTGGTTTGCCATATACTTTAGAAGAACTTAAAATAAATGAAAACCAGTTACATGCAATTGATGAAGATAGCTTTGAAGGTATCTTATATATATAAATGCAAATTCATGGCAAAAAAAATCAAATATGTGATGTTTGAGGGAAACTACTTTTGTATTACTTTGAAAAACATCTTTATATTTGTTTTGTTTAGATCATATGCATAACTTCTAACACTGCAGTTACATATAGATATTTTTAATATTTAGAGACACTTCAAAGTGCTCTCTGGATTGTGCTTCATGAAAACTGAGAAGCATTATTGTGTAAGCCAAGGTTGCCAGTGATACAATTGTACCAGGAATTGCTGCCAGGAAGCTCTATCTGTAACTGAAAAAATACAGTAGGAGTGGATCCTGTGAGGATCTTTTCAATCATATGAACCACACCTCTTACTTACAACACAGTGAGCAGTATCCAATGGGGTGTTACCCCGCCTTCTAATTCCGTCCCACAAACAAGACCCTCCAATGCACAATTGAGATTTAGCAATTACGTGACCAACCAGAAACAAGTGGCAATTCTTGTTTCTAAAATGGGGCAGGTCAGAAGAGCTTAGCTTGCATGATCAGTGTGATTCTACTTATATGATGATGTAGTTGGCTTGGATTTATCTTCAGCAGATGTGCTACCTGGTCTGAAAGAACCTGGACAAGGTACTTTTTGAAGGTGCCCTCCCCTGAACACTCTTTCTGCTTGATCATTGCACAGGAACAGCAATTGATGGTGGAGGCAGCATTCTTCCTTGCTTATTAAGTTTTGACTGCAGTCACAAGAAAATGCCTTGGTGACAGCTAGGTAGTGATGGCCAGTTGAATGGCATGCCACTTAAGTGAGCTTATTTCCTCAAGTCTTCTGAGTGGAAGCAAACTGAACTCATCAGACATTTTCCTCATTGGCTGTCTGCTAATTAGAAGACTTAAATTAAAATACTTTAATTTAAAATCCCATGTGGGTGTAGTTTAATTTAAAATGGCAGAGTGCTGAAACCTTAAACCCACCCTTTGGAGAATTTGCTAAGCTTTGTGTGGGTAGCAATTGGTGTCTGGGACTTAGACTAAATTTAGTGTCATGACTTATGAGTCAAAAATCAGTTTTTCCAAGAGTTGATTGAAAAGTATTTTATTTAGTGACTCATTTTAGAAGCAAACTGTGGGAAGTTCACCTATCACTAGTAATGTTCTCTGGTCTTTCATGGCTTCTTCCAAAACACAGCAGTATAGGAAGAGAATTTGGAACACACATCAAATAGTCAGAAATGTTAATATTTAAGGATTTTTTTCTGGTCTGGTACAAACTTTTAACAGAGGTTCTCCACATCTATGATTCCTGGGCTGCCTTAAAAAAGTTAGTTATTTTGGTATTATTAAATTCCTTTTGTTCCTTGGCTGCCTGGTTTATATTTATCACCAAACATGACAGGATAACGTGCTTCTTGATTATATACAGGCGATCAATGCCCCTTAAAAGCTCTTCCTTGTCCCTGAAATGTAGTGTCATTGTAGAAATCAGAAGCCTAACCTATTCACCTATGCATAGAGATTTAAAATCTTTTCAGAAGCACTGGCTCTTGTTATTTCTAGACACTTAATGCCTGGTAATGTCCTTGCTCTTGCTGCTAGTGTCTAGCCATACCCTCTTGGTTCATCCTGTTTGTGCAAAGGAAATGCATCAGAAACTAAGGGATTTGGGGAATTGTAGTTTGTGAGAGAGTCCCATATGATGCCATATTTCTTACTATCTCTACAATGACATGTACAAGCACTTTCTCACTCAGTTTTGGTTCATGAAAACAGCCCAAATGAGCAGCCCACTGTTACAAAACATTGCTTGTTCTTTTGTAATATCACTTCTGATGAGCTCCAGCAAATCTCACAAGCAGTTACAAAATCTGGACACCCTACATAGATAAACAAGGTAAAATGTTTTATGATACAAATTTAGTTTTATTTTTCCCATGGGAGGTGGGAGAAGGGACTGTCCTCATAACATGTGTTCTCTCCCAGTGCTTGTGTACTAGGTGCTATGAAGCTGCAACCTCTCTATACCTCTTTGTTATACAGCAACTTGTGTCACAGTTGGAAGTAGATAAATACCAGGATATTTGGCTTGCCTTTGCTGAATCTTATGTATAACTTCCTTTTTGGCTGCTGTGCTATACACCTATTGAAATTGTTCTATTCAGATACATGGAGCTATATTTTCCTTTCTTTTTTACATAGAGCTGGAAATGGTGACAAATGTCAGGATTGCAGGCTTGACACAAATGCTGCTATGCTGAAACCAAGGCCTAGTTCTGTCAGCTTAGCAGTTATTGTGGCTCAACATCATTACTGCATTTAAAAAATAAATAAAATCCTTGAGGTTTCCCAAGCAGGGTCCACACCTAATTAGTTTCAGTAATGCTGGAGCATCACATGCTCCCAGACTGTTTACTAGATACATGCATATTCTATTGTTGAAAACATGAGCCCAGACAGCTAGAGATAGAAATCGGGAGTGGGGGAACAAGGGGAAACACAAAACACTGAAGGGCTCTCAATGTGAAGTAAGAATTTGCTTCAGTTATTGAATCCTGTGAAGTTAAGATATGACTTTATTTCTCTGCAACCAAATTACAGTTGGATTTTAAGTAGTATGTGATTTCTGCTAGAAAATTTCTTTACCAAAGCATGCATGTACCTGTGTGTGTGGGTGTAATAACAATTTTTACAATTAAAAAGTGTAACAAATTCCAACACATAATTTATATTATTATTATACTTAACACACAGTAATGCATTCCTATATAATTCATATCATATATTCTTAATTAAAGAAATTTAATAGAATCACAACTGTATCTGATGAACCAATAATTAAATAGTATCTTGAGGACAGTTAAGTTTATTCAGGCAAACAGAAGACTTTTCTGCATTTATTAAACATTAAAATAAAAAATAACTCATATTTAAACAGTATATTTAATTATTTTGCCAGTTTAAGAATTTTTTTCTTTTCCAAAGGTTTAAAGAAGTTGGTGACACTGGAATTAGAAGGCAACCAACTTAGTGAAGCAAATGTCAGTCCTTTAGCTTTCCAGTCTTTGAAGAGCTTGTCATATTTGCGCCTTGGGCGAAATAAATTTAGGATTATTCCGCAAGGTCTTCCCCCTTCTATTGAGGTAAAGCTTTGTAAAATATCAGTTTTTTATTAGCTCCCTTTTTCCATAATCTTTAAACCTAAGCCTGCTTCGTTATGAGTGCAAAAGTAGTTAAGAAATGGTTACCTTTTATTAGGAATACCATTCATATGTTGCTTTAATCATGCAAAGAAAATAAGATCCACAGTTCAGCCACATCCAGTATTACATATGTAGTGAGAACTTGTGTTTTCCCCCCCATTTATTTGGGATCCTTGCCTCTTGCCCCTTCTGGGAAAGTCACAAGATTTTAAAGACCATTTTTCACATAACTGTTTTTTCTATGATGTGTTTGAACAGGAATTATACCTTGATAATAACCAAATTGAAGAAATTACAGATATTTGCTTTAACCGTACCACAAATATAAACACAATTGTTCTAAGACATAACAAACTGGAGGAAAGCCGAATAGCCCCACTGGCATGGATCAATCATGAGTAAGTAAAAGCTGTCAAACTGACTTATTTTCCCATCAATATCTAAACAGTTTAAGTATAAATTAAAAATGTACAATATAGAAGACACGGGTTCCATCAATTTTGCCTTGGCACAGTAACCCTCACTATCCGTCACTCTGGTCCAGCACGCAAGCAGAAAGTAATGGGGAAAGCGGGACTTTTTCACTTTGTCCTGCCATTTGGAGAACACAGAATAGCAAGACAGCAATATATGCCACTCTGACCTTCTGTGAATAGGCTGAAGGAAAGGGCAAGGGCTTTTCTGATCACTGTGAATAGGTCTTTGGAGAAGCCTAATATCATTGCAAGTCCATTTTGCTGCCTCTCCTTCCCTATCACCTGATGAGATGTGGGAAGTAAGTTATAGCGCAGAAGACATTTTTAAATCAGGAAGTGGTAGGGGGATTCCTCGTACAAAGGGGGAGAAAATACTTTCTCCCTACACATCTCATCTTCTATGCATGCCAGAAGCAATGGGGCATGAGATTTGTTTCCTTCTGCTCTGAGTTTCTGAAAAGCACAAAAGCAGAAGGAGCCTCTTTCAGTTTCTGCCTTCTGTAAAGTCCATCATAAAGTGCATGGCAGACCAATTTTCTCCCAATTGCTCTGCAGTTAGTGAACAACATAATCAAGGAGTGGTGACCAGAAAAAGATAGGCAGTCCCCATGGGAATGTTGCAAATGATTTGGTGACCCTCTGATCCAGAACAGTGTCATTTTTGATCAAAATTAAACTCTAACAAATTCTCCAAATGTGATTATTGTTGGATCCTGCCAGCTAAATTCCACAGAGAAGTCCAGTTTAATTAAAGTCATATTTTAAATATTAAAGCCATTTTTAAATATGAAGGAGGCAGCACCTTCCTCCAAAGGGCTATATATTTTGATCCCAAACATTTTATTTTTGTATGTGGAAGCTCAAGAGATAGATTACTCACTGTAAGCAGATTACATTCTGTTCTAATCTTTCTCAATAGTCAGATCTCCATGTATTGAAAAATGTCCAGTTAAGGCATAAAGCTATTAAGAAATTAACGATAGCCATCCTTTGCCTTTTAAATCAGATAGAAAACTTAAATAATTACAGGGTTGTAAATTAAGGCTGATAGATATTTTATGTAGTAGATATCCATAATCTTGCTTCCTCACATGAAGAAAAGATGTTTTAACAAATGGGATTTCTGATGAGTCCATCATCATCATCATCATCATCATCATCATCATCATCATCATCATCTGTAACTAAGAGGCAAACAAATAACTGCAGAAAAAAGAGATGACTTTAGTAGAGATTCCTTAAACTGATTGAAAAGGGGGAAAATAAGGCAATAGTTGTGCCTATGAATATTGCCATGCTTCTTAATTCTTTTCCACAGGTCTGAAGAATCTGTCAGACTCTGGATATTGGCAGTTATGTAAAAATGTTTGGGCAATAGCTATGGGAAAAGAGTAGGTGGTATGGGAAAAAAGTTTTCTTTAATGTGAACTCATCTGTGAAAAGCTGAGATTTTCATTAAAAATAGCCCACTGACAGTTATCTTTCTCAAACCCTGTCTTTATAGGAAAAATCATGCAGCTATTTTTTTCATGCAGCTCTTCTGCAAACACCAGAAGTTCAGAGATCACTGTGCCCTGCAGCATCAAAACCTGGATGCCTATAGCTTCCTGATAGCTCCCATATTTTCTCCATAATTTCACAGATAAGACAAATGGCTCTTGCATGCCCAGTGGGGTGCTTAGGCAACTGGTAGCCACTCCACAACAACTTTGCCCTTTGGCATTAGGAGGCATTAAGATAACAAAGAAGTGGCAACCAGCACTTCTTGGCTACCTTGATGCTGCTATGTTAATGCTAGTAGGCCTTGAGAAATCCTGATAGGGCTGCTGTCTGGCTCAGCTTTTTCCTCAAGATGATGGGGTAGCCCATTTTACCCATACCTGTGAAATATGCACTAGTAGGAGAAAAGGTGGGGCAGAAACTGAGTGGACATGCAGATGAGCAACCATAGCCTTCATTCATTTGCAATGCTTGTCAACAGCAATAACAACCTTTTCTGTCTATCAAGAAATAAAAAAAATGTTTCCCAGTTTTTAAAAAAATTGACATGCACTGTTTTGGTAGAGAACAATCTTCTCACAAACTTCTCAGTCTCTTGCTTTATTTTGTAAAGTCAAAATCAATTAGCTTATAGTCTTACTTTTGTGTGTCTTTTTCTTTTATTTTAGGAACTTGGAATCTATTGACCTGTCTTACAATAAATTATATCATGTTCCTTCCTATCTACCCAAGTCGTTAGTGCATCTTGTACTTATAGGGAACCAAATTGACAGAATTCCAGGATTTGTATTTGGACACATGAGGCCAGGGCTACAATATTTATACCTTTCGTTTAACAAACTTGATGATGATGGAATTGACCCTGTGTCATTCTATGGGGCATATCACTCTCTGAAAGAAATGTACTTAGATCACAACCAGCTGAAGTCTGTGCCACTTGGAATAGCAGAAATGAGGTCATTAACTTTTCTAAGGCTTAACAACAACAAAATAAGGTAAATAAAAAACTTTAAAATAAAATAAGTAAAGTACAATAGTGAATGTATTAATAGATTTCTATTATAAATTTTCAAAGAAGTGTTTGTAAGCTTATAGAAGTCTGATTCCGTTCTTTATATTTCAACCTAATGGCACATAGCTTCTGTAAGTCATTTAATTCAGTGAGGATCATATAGGTCTAAATGAAAACTAATTTCAAGTTATATATTTAATTGTTGCTTAAATTATAGCCAGCAAATGGTAATCTGTGGGATGAAGCTAGCACCCTGAGGAGTGCAGCAATCAAGCTAGAACTGATTGGGATAATGCAGCAGCAGCTGTGGAATGCAACTCTGGAAGTTCACATGGTCTGTTGAGTAGGGCAGAAAATAATAGTAAATTAGAAAATTTGTTACTAGAAAAACATTCCAGAAAAGAGAATCATAGTTGATTAAGGGTTTCTGATGGCACTTCTTCTGAGAAACAATCCATTTTGGTTGCTAGCAGAGACAGCACATCTATCCATTTTTTGGTGGAAAATTAAATTGCTACTTTGACCACCAGGAAAATTCCTATATCCATGTACTTGGAAAATGCTCCAAGCACACATGAAAAATGCAAAGTTAACAGGCTATACTGCAAGTCAAATTGGAATAAACAATACCTTGGAATTTTCATCAACAGCCTGGTATCTCATATGTATTTTATTTGTATTTTATTTTGTGTTGTGAGCCGCCCCGAGGCTTCGGCAAGGGGCGGCATAGAAATGTTTTAATAAATAAATAAATATATAAAAATGTAAAAGCAGTATTACAAAGAGGATGCCAAGTACTAGAGTTTCCCATTTGACCCTAACCATTCATTCAGATCCATGTCAGCCAGGGGTGGTACACAAACGGACATGAGGAATATGTCCTCAGAACACTGCCAAACCCTCTTGTCTATAACCCCCACTGTTACCTCTGCTCTGAGATCAGAAGGAAATAGCAGGGATTCCCCTGCACATTGTTGCTTCTACAGTCCCCGGGAAATCAACAATTAAGTACTACCCTCATCATGCAGATGGGAAAGCTCACCACTTTCTGTGAGGCCATTTCACACTTTAAAAAAATGCATGTCTAAAGAATTCCCTAAGTATGCAAAGGCCACTGTCTGCTATGGGCCCTCTTTCACCTTCTTATTTTATTAGTCAGGATGAGAAAACTGAGCCTCCCCATTCTAGCTGCTGGGGACAAGCCACAGGCAGGGCCATCATCTTTCCCCCTTTTTTAATTTCTAGATGCATTTGGCTGCATACAGCTACAGAGCACTAAACTAGATTTAATCCAGCAAGGATTTTCTTTCCTAACTAGCTGTTGACCAGAAGAAAAAAATCTTAACATTCCATTCCACTGTGACGGATATATAAATATTCCAGATTCTTCAGTCCAAGTGGACTGTATTTAAGGCTTTAGCAGTACCATGAACAACAGCAGAAAGGAAAGGAAGGGAAAGGCAGAAGAAAAACATGCTCCCTTTCTGTGATTTTTCTCTCTTCCTGTGTGAGATTGGACAACAGCAACAGGAAATGCTCAGCTATGAACTTTACAAACCTAAAATCATGGAAAACATGGAAAAACATATTAAGTTTTTTTCATCTTAGAGGTTTTCCATGGCCTAACTAATACAAAATTTCTGTAGACCAGTCCTAAGATTCTAGCCATGACCAGCTTCCAATTTATTCATAAACTAATGACAGCTTTTTAAAAGTGTGACAGTTATACAAATGTATTTCAGGACACTTAATGAGCTACACTCAGCAAAAAAGAAAGGATTTAAAAGGCAAAATGCTCATTGTAGACAGAGGCATAATGACAGTTCCTGGTGTGACTTATACTCCCTAGGGAAAACAAGGTCTCCTCCACTAATTTTAGTCTCATTTTAGTTTAGTCTCAATAGGTGAAAGCCTGAACACATGCACATTTTGGTGCACAGAAAATTTTAAATGGGAACTGAAGAGGGAGCAGGATGGATGGCTTTCTACATAAGCAATGGCTATAGCAAGGAGAAAGACAAGCAGCATTTTGGAACGTTGGATTTTGTTACAGCTGTTGGTAGTATGTAGGGATTGGATCTGCCGCTCTCAAAATATAATATTCCAAGCTAGAAAGCTCAGACTTGGAAGGTGAACTAGGTAAAGAAGAGGGGATAGAATGTAACACTTAAATATCAAGGTTAATGATTGAAATTAGCCAAGTAACTAGTACACACTGGATTTACTCTAGTTTGTGGGAAACAATGTGGAACATTGAGAGCCAGTGTGTGTGTGAGTTTATCCACACAGTGAACAGGCCAAATAATTAATGTCAAGTATTCCTGCTGTTTGGTCTGCAAGAAGCAAACCTTCCTGAGGTTGGAGCTAGCCCTTTTTGAAGGAAAGGGAAGGGTTGGAATTCCGAGTGGAATCAACTTCCGACATCGGTATTACTCCCTCTCTGCAAAGGCAGCCTATGTTATTTTAGAAACCTGTCACACTGAGCTGCATGAAAGGGAAAAGGGAAGGGACACACTGATGGCATAGATGCAGATGCAACAGCAACATTGGCTTGATTCTCATCCTGTAATCAGAATGATGACATGGGCAAAATGCTTGTCTTGGCCAGGATTAAGTAATGTGAAATAGGATAAGCACTCCTCCTTGCCACGGTGGCAACATGCTCATTTAAGTGCCTGGTTTGTCTGTGAGTGTCTTCTGCCTTTTCTGCTCTGTGCCCTCTTATTATATTGCAACAAAAGTAGTCTTTAAGAGTATGTCTCCTCACAGTACCTGTGCAATTTTTTTTTGTTCAAAACTGGTGATGCTCTGCAGAATCAGCACGCCTTAGCATAAACATACATAGAATTGGGTTGTAAATTTAGTACTCCAAGAATGTCTCATGAAATCTACTGCTAAAATCAGTGGAGCTTACTTATTTCTAAGCTGCCATTTTATGATGGGCTCCAGCCAGAGAAGCCTGGCCTCCTCCTTTAAAAAGTTGTTCCACCTTTCAGCTTTAAAGTGCATGTGCTGTTTGATTACAGTTTTTCTGCACTTTCTATAAAATACATAGAAAATAAATGCCATCTTGAAAACAAGAGGAAAATTGCTAGAAAAATATTTATTTTTATATTCTCTTTTCTTATTTCCTGCGTGGCTTTATAGAACAGTTCCTCTGGAGCGAATCTGTAGAATTGGATTGGATAAAGAGGAGGAAGGTGATAATACCAGTGAAGAGGAATATGATGAAGATTCACCATTAGAACACCTTCATCTTGAATACAATTATATCAATACACGGGAGCTTTCACCATACGCTTTTTCATGCGTCAGATCTTATTCTAGTGTGGTTCTGAAACCCCAAAAGATCAAATAAAAACTGTTTTCTATCATAAAGCTATTTTTTATATGTAAATAATAAATTCAGAATATTTCTTCACCAGCAAATAAAAGCAGATCACATACTATGAAAGATGGCTTAGCACCCTTATTGCTCAATGAAGGGCTTCATTATTGTTAATGAAGGGCAAGATGTAACTATAGGAATGTCTCCATGAAAACAGGCAGTTTACATCACTAGACATATTAGACTTGCAGAATATTTTATACTCTAATTAACAAAAATGTCATATGCTAATATTCTTTCAAATGTCAATGTTATATGGTAGCACAATAAATTGAAGTTTACTGAACTTCCGATTAATTTCAAAGAGCATTCTTGATCAAATAATCATTATGCAATGAATTATAATACCATACATACTTTGAGAAGGTTGCTCAATGGAAAGATGCAGTTAAAAAATTCTCCTGAAAATTTATATAGTCACCAAAGTATTTAGGAGTAAAATTGTTCACTGTGTTTGGGGAATCTATCAGGCATCTGAAGCTTAAAACCATGCAGTATAGTGGTTAAGAGTGGGACTCAGGAGATCTAGATTCTAGTCCCCATTCAAGTCATGACTGCATGACTATCTGCCAGTCACAGACTCTCAGTCCAACCTACCTCACAGGATTGTTGTGAGGATAAGACTAAGAGAAGGAGAATCATGTGAGCCACCCTGAATTCCTTGAAAGGAAAAAAACGGCAGACATAAATATAAGCATAAAATTTATGTTTTCTTACTACTATACTGTTTTACAGCATGTCATTTGGATATAGTCAGAATTTGTACTAAAATGTTGCCAGAACTATAACGAATGCATTACAGTGATCAAAAAGCCATTTAACATTGCATAAATCTATTGAGAGAGAGCCACAGCTAAGGAAATAACAATCATTCTAAGATAAAATGTGGTATGTTTATTTGAGGAATTATCAGTTTGAAGACAGGTGCTGGTCTAAAGCAGGAGGTAAACAATTACCCCAAAAGCAAGGGAGGCAATCAACTGATCACAGAAGAGTAAGTCCATTTTGAAGAATCAGCAGCAAAGCCTAAACTAGTTTCTTCTGAAGCCAGTTCACCTGAGGACAGAAGTCAGATAATGGTCATATGTAGAGCTGCCATTACCACAGTTCTTTCCCAGACCACTCTTGTATTGTGGGCAGTTGTTAGGCAATTTTATCAAGCAGGTCAGAACAATGGCATTCAAATCAAAGAGAGATTTAGGGTATAATTCTATGCATGTTTACACAGCAAAATCCTAAAATTCCCAATATTTTGCTGTCAGCATGGCCAGGGAATGCTGAAAGTTGTGGGGCTTTTTTCTGTCAAAATATGCATAGGCTTGCACTCTTAGAGTCCATACAGCTATCAAAGTTATGTAACTATGTGTGAATTCAAAATGGATAAAACTGTCTTGAAGAAATCCTGTTAAACCACTCCCTAATAGAGTCTTTAAAAGAATACAATTGGCAGAAAACTCTACTTTGTGAGCTTATGTAGCTGACTTATGACATAACTGAGATTGTCATACTTTGGGCACATTGTAAGAAAGCAAAACTCCCTGGAAAAGACAATAATGCTAGGAAGAGCTGAAGGTAGAAGAAAAAGAAGACCAAACACAAAGTGGATTGACTACATAAAGGAAACCACATCCTTGAATTTAGAAGAGCTAAGCAGGACTATCACATTTGGAGGGCTTTCATTCACAGGGTCACCATAAGTCATAGATGACTTGACGGCAAATAAGAACAAGAAATGCAGCTGACCCTGATCCAGTCAGTCCATTGGTCCATGTAGTTCAGTAGTTCTGTTCTGACTGGCAATGGTTTAGTGGGGTCTCTGAAAGAGATCCCAGCCCTCCCGACTTTTAGCCCTAAGCCCTTCGGCATGCTAAACATATTATCTACCCCTAACTTATAGACCCTATCCATTGTGTTATGCTTCTTGATGATTATGTGTTGCAACAGAGAAAGAGTAGTGAATAAAGAAGAATGTGTCAGTGAATTTAATTAATTCATACTGTCCAATTCTGTGCAATTTGAATTTATCACAGGATAATGGAAATCAAAGTTTCTGTTCTGTATTAAAACTCATTAACAATTTTCATTTTATTTATTATATTTCTATACTTCCCAATTTCTAAACCTCTTTAGTTTACAAAGTCTGAAAACCTTAAAGCACAATATTCTGCAAAATGTAAAAACCATTTACATACAGATGTGGACAGACAACAAAATTTGAACAATCACTAATAAGAAATCTCATGACATAATTAAAAACCTCATCATATACATCAAATATGTCTACAAGTAAAAGTTCTTCTTATGATACTGGTAATAATGTTAGTGCCAGATAAGTCTCTCTAGAGAGACTCTTTCATAATCAGGGAGCCAGCACTAAGAAGGCACTCTCCATTATTGCCACCTTCAAAGCATCCCTTGCAGAAGGCACCTGGGGGAAGGTGCTAGTTGAGTCTTGTATATGGGGAGGCTTATGCCAGGGAAGCTGTTCCATCAGATACTTCAGTCTCAATCTACATAAAGCTTTATAGGATAAAAGCAGCACCCTGAGTTGGACTTAAAATAGTACAGGAAGCCAATGAAAGCAAGCCAGAATCAGTGTTATACATTTGATACTTCTTGTTTCTCCCAACAATATAGCTGCCATAGTCTGCACAAGTTTCAAAGGCCAGATAGATTGCACTGTAGTAATTTAACTTGGGGGTTTCTATAGAATAGATTACTAAAGACAAGTGAGGGAGGTTCCTAACCCACCAGCCAAAGCTGCTGGAGGGCACTGCATGGCTCTGAGGTCACCTGAGCGTCAAGTGACAAAAATGGCTCCCGGAGAACCCTAACTGCCTCACAGACAAGGCAGAAAGAGGAATGTTTTGTTTTTTGGATGCCATATGCTTACCAAATTTGTAGACAGGAGTCCTCCCATCTCACCCTAGACTACATTGTGGTGTTAAAACTTTCAGAAAACACACGTACATGTTTCACAGAGATAGAACGAGCACAACAGTTTATTTATGACTACATTCAGGTTTCTCTGAGGCAATTTAAAGCATGCTCACTGAAAAGCTGAATCAAAACCAATCTGTATTCACTGAGAAGATGAGAAAAATGCATTACATTACTTTGATGAAGCAACCGGATGAATTGTCCGTTAATTCCCATTCCAGATTTTTGAGACCATGGAAAGCTACCACAGAATGATAGTCATTCCAATATAAACAGCTGCAGAAACGATTGTTGAACTTATCATATATGCAGACTCTAAAAGGTTTGTGAGAGATATCAGTTTCACCTAGATGTGTATTCACGGGGTCTATTGTGGATGTTAATTCTTAAGAGGAAGTATAGATGGGTCTGCAGTCCTGTGAATTGGAATATATCATGCCACTAGCTCTTTTTCTAATAATGTGGCTTCAATATTCAAAGAATGAGCAGTGGTTGAAAGAAATTAAACTATCATCTGACATTTTACTTTGTCCATTTCTTCCACTGTGCAGCCAACACACTGCCAGCTAGGGTACCTGGCCCTTTGCTGCAAAGCAAGTATCAAGCCAAGACCATTATATACAAGAAGTTGCTCACTTTCATACTAGTTCAAGATACAATAAAATTTGTATTTCCTTCTCCTTATGCATTATGCTTAAATGAGGTACTTGATTTATAAGAACCAGGGCTTTTAAGAAAATATAGCCTTTCTTCTGCACCATTTGCCCAACCTAATGAGGACATTAATAGTTCCAATTAAATAGTTTAACTTGTGACACTACTAATCAAACATGTGAATAATCAAGCATTTTCCAAGTGTACTGTTGAAATGGTGGTATCCATCTTGCTTCTCCCAGTGAGAAAATTTAAAAAAACATGGTATTATAGATTGGAAAAAAAATATTTAGCCCTGAAATACTAATACTCATGGGCTCTCTCAATTCTTCCTCTACTGTTGTCAGTATTAGGTAGTAAGAATTCTGAGCACAGGATACTGTTCTTTAAAAGAAATCAGATAGCAATGCAGTGTGATCAGGGGAGAATTCAGCTGAGCAGGGAAAGAAATTAAACACACACAAGGATACACATGCACAGAGAGAGAGAGAGAGAGAGAGAGAGAGAGAGAGAGAGAGAGAGAGAGCGCGAGAGCGAGCGCGCGCGCGCGAGGGAAAGACAATGAAATATATTACAGGAAACATCATCAGGCTGTGAAAATAAAACACAAGCTTTTGGACTTGTCATAAAGGAAAGCATGATGATGGCAGCTTGCTTTGGTGGGCACAGAATAACTACTCAGGATTAAAACAATACTGGTGTGCTGGAGCATGCTGCATGATTGCTCCACTGCAAGTAGGCACAGTTAAGCACTGAGGGGCGCTCTATCTCTAGACTGTTTAATGTGTCACATCAATCAGGAATTCTGTCTGTTAGGACAGAATTGGAGCCCAGGTTTTCTCAATGGCTATTAATTATGAAGGCAGCATGTTACCTTTACTACCAGAGGCAACATGCATCTGTAAGTCAGTTGCCAAGGGTTCTACTGAGCTCCTACCACACTGGCATTTGGCTAAAGTCCCACATCTCAGCAGGAGCCATTGATGAGAGCTCAGCGGACTCATTCCTCTTCTTCACCATTGCATCCTGCTTGTTCATCTGCCTTTCATTCTAGTGATGCTAAGAAGGAGCTTTCTTGCCTGCTTTTCTCTGCAGGTGGCAGCAATGATATGGAAGAGGAGGAGCAATGGGAGCGGGTGACAATGGCCATGAGGATTTGACTCTCCCATTGCTTAAGAAACATTCAAATACATGGAGCTATTGGTGCTATTGCCCTCATGTCCTGCTTGTAGACTTTTTGTGGGCATATGGCTGGCCACTGCACAAACAGGATGATGGTCTTTGGTTGGTTTTTCCTATGCCCATGACATGTAGTATTGCTATTTGCTATAATATAGTACTGCATGTATTTGCTATTGTGTGTGTATGCCTACATGCATCATGACTTGGGTCTAGATAAGTGCTTGCAGGAATGATGGGCAGAGGGTGGCTTTCTCATCCCTTCTGTCTGAAAACTTCCCAGAAATGAGTGGGTTGAATGTGCAAACGAGGGACTGCTGAAAAGGAAGCAGACTAATTGGGACTTACATGGAACAAATTACTAGAGTCTAGAGGAAACATTCCATAGGATCTTTGTATTTTCGTCATAACTTATATTACTCAAGCCATTAGCCAGTCATTTCTCTACTACCATTTGGTAGAAAACATCGGTATAACGTAGATTGACTGCTATGGGCCTGTTCACTTAT